AATTAGGGGAATTTCATGAACTAGGAAAGGGTATTGGTGAAAATAAAATTAGAGCATGTGAATTTTATAAAAAATCAGCCGATCAGGGATTTGCTGACGCTCAATATAAAGTTGGATATTATTATGAGAAAGGAATTGGAATTGATGATATTAATAAAGAAAAGGCATTTGAATTATATAAGATGGCTGCAGAAGGAGGGAATATTTTTGCACAAAAAAGTCTTGCATATTTATATGAACATGGTGAAGGGACTAATAAAAATATAGGAAATTCTATTTATTGGTACAACAAAGCTGTAGAAAATGGATATTTAGACGTTGTTATAGAGAATCTAGATACTATTTTCGAATAATAATTAATCTTTATTATTATTGATAAGTCGATAGATAGATAGTACATTTTATACATAATAGACATCGCTATTTATTCTATTCTACGTAAAGTCACATGCTTTACTGCGTTTAACGTATTTAAATGTTACAGGCATATCTTGGTTATGAAAGTAAGTCGTAATTTTGCCACAAGGAAGGCCTAACTTATATAAAAAGCATGTAAATTTAAAAACTTTTTCATATGTTAAAATAAATTTATTTTATTTTAATATATATATATATATATTAATACAGCTAAAAAGTTTTATATATAAAAAACCCAACCCAATTATTTTAGCAACGAGGCAACGAAAATTCAAGTTTTCCCGTCGGATTTTGTGTAGCTTGTCATTCAATTCTTCATTTGTTAAAGAAATTAAAAATAAAGTTTTAAAATGATTTTTCCCAATTTTTTAATTTGCCTTCATTGAACGAAATTGTGTCACTACAGATTTGCATAATTATCACCAATCACCAATCAACTAATCTTTTAAATTATTTTCTAGAATGGGCGTACAAATTATTATCCCAAACGTTTTGTAATTATTTTTGGTATTACCTGCATTATTGATAATGTACACTAGTTGCTTTTTATTTTGTGTCACAAAATCACAAAATCATCGACAGATGGCAACCTCACATGACTCTGAATCCGATATCTTTTAAACCCTGACAATCTACTTTTTTATTATTTAGTTTCTTCTCTTTGAAAAAAAAGGTTTTTTTTCTTTTCCTTTTTTTAAAGTAATTTTATAGTTATATAAAAACAAAAATACTAATCAAAATTATATATTGGACCTGTCTCTTATACACATCTAGATGTGTATAAGAGACAGGCTATGCATTGCATAATTAAAAAAAGGTTTTTTTTCTTTTCCTTTTTTTTTTTGTCTTGAAAGTACGGTAGAAATTCCTGTATCAAAAAAAAAAGAAATATTTTTTTTTTTGATTCAGTTCTCACTTTAAATAAATTTTTTTATATACTGTAAGTTATCCAAATAATTTTGATTAACACGCAAAAAAAAAATTTTTTTTATCCTACTTTAATGTCTAAACTTTATTTTTAAATTATTTTCTCCTATTATTATTTCCATTAGTTTCTTTCTATTAGTATTAAAGAAAAAATGTCTGATATAGATTCCGTTGCCACGATGAATCATAAATAACAACAAATAAGTGTAACCAATACAGAATACATTTCTTGCGACTTTTCAGGTGCAACATCTTACGCACCTAGCAATTATGAAGAATCATTTGTTACTCAGTCATTGTTCTCAATTATGAGAACAAAAATGGCCTCAGTTATAAGGACAAAAATGTCCTCAGTTATAAGGACAAAAGTGTCCTCAAATTATAAGGACAAAAATGTCCTCAATTACATGAACAAAAATGTCCTCAAAGTTGCAAGGACAAAATATACACAAATTTACAAGGACAACAATGTCCTCAAAATTATGAGGACAAAAATGTCCTCAAGTTACAAGGACAAAAATGCCCTCAAGTTACAAGAACAACAATGTCCTTAATTACTAGGATAAAATTGTCCTCAAGTTACAAGGACAGAAATGTCCATAAATTATGAGGACAAAAATGTCCGCGCTTATAAGGTCACATGAACACTGCTTAATATTGGCCAATAAAAACCGTGGTTTTCATAGAGGATATAACCTATGCATTTGAGACGCGATGAATAAGGTTATATGATACTTATATCCTTTGCCGATCAGGCAAATGGGGTGCCAAATTGATGGTACCGACTTTTTTGTTTTTGTGTTAATTGCAGTGCGACTCTAAAGAAAAGAATTTAAATAGTTTTTTTTTACGTAGTTTATTATAATATACGTAATATACGTTCAGATATGTATACATATATATAAAGAGACTTTTTTGAATAAAAGTATTTTACTGCTTTATTATAAAAAAATATGTTAAAAAATATAAATATTTATACATCGATAAAAATAGTAATAACTAGATGTGGCTTTGTAAGGGTCATAATAACTATTTTTTCTTGAGTATGCTTATTTATTTTTAGAAACAAGAGAGTGAGAGAGGATTTATTTGATTTAGAACCAAAAAAAAAAATGACACAAAAAAAAGTGATGAGTTTATCAATTATTTTTTTTTTTAATTTAATATTTCAATATTTAGTCATTTTAATTAAAGCAACGTCTCAGCATCATACTGTAATTACTGTCTGTATATGATTTTTTTCATTTATGGCCCGATTTGGAATAACATTAGCAGAATGGATTGTTTAATGAAATATGGTTTGTCACCTGATTCAATTATACTGTATATGGCTGACTTATCTGACTAATGTGAGAAAAAAAGATTGTTAAAAACGTATTTATACTTTTTTTTCTTAAATCAGATCTTAGCCAAAACCTTTCATGCATATGTACATTTGATTGTCCTATTAGAAATTTTCGTTTATTAATAAGAAAAACTAAACCTTTTCATTAGCAAAAATCCAATCAAAAATTTCATTAACCGGAACTGATTTAGCCACGAAAATTTTCATCGAAATTATTCTAACCATAAATAAATATAGAATAGATCACTCATAAAAAAAACTGATTTGTCACCATGTTACACATGATCTGCGCACATTGATTATCCACACCTTTCTTTTCTAAAAAAATTATTAACATGTCATATCGACAACAAAATAAGGTTTGTAAAGGATGTATTATTAGAGGAATCACCAAATTTAAATCATTGGAAAAGATTAATGATGACATTAGAGCACAAAACATCGCCAAACCAACCTAGAACTTGGAGATATTTGAATCATAACACAATGTATTGGACATAATACATATTGTAGTATTTTTAACAATACTTGTAATGTATAAGAACAAAAGCTATTTAGTTAACAAGTCAATTATTATAGTGAAAGTAAGTAAAATGTAGTACCTTAATAGTTTGTTATAATATATAATAATATTAAAGTACATAAAATAAGCTTTTTAATTTTTTGCCAATAAAGAAATAAATACATACAAATGGTTTCACGATCGAAGTATAATTACCAATACAAAAAAATTTCTAGTTAATAGCAAAAATTTCCAGGTTTAATTATATAACTTACTTATATTTTGTTCTATATATTTTTCATTCTAGAATAACGTAAATTTATGACTATTCATAATTATGAAAATAATCCTCATTGATCAGACGCAGGTATGTCATGGTTTCATATTACACAAATCAAAAAACTATTTAAATAACTATTCTAAACATCCGCAGTCCGATCTTAAAAAAGTTCTTTTCTTTTTCTTTTGGATGTTTTTTTTTAAATAAAATAAAAATGTTTAATCGTTTTAATTTTCAAAATAGTCATAAAATTATTTTGATTTCATATGTATCTCGTATATGGCTATTTTACGTAAGATAAAATAAAAAAAAATTTAAATCAATTGGCTGGATAATTTAATGGCTATACAATAATACGAATTACCTATAAAATTATTTGATGATCAGAAATGATCTAACAAAACGTAAATTTTATTTTATTGTTAAAAAAAACCTATTATTTTTAAAATTAAACCATATAATTTACTTTATTCAGTTATTAATTGTTAATAGAAACTAGTACAGACCTGAGAATTTATTTCATTAAAATTTAAAAAAAAAGACTGCAATTTATATATTTATTTAGTTTATTTGTTTAAACAATACAAATGAAATTAACTATAGGGACAAAGTCCTACTGCATACGGCAGTAAAATTCTAATTATCTATCAAAGTTTTTCCAATATTGCAAAACACTCATATTATCAACATATAAATCAACTTTATTATCATCAGCAGGAAGTATAATTACCACCACTACAATTGTTACTAGTTCCAACTCGAACACGTTAAACGAATTTTCTATATTTGCTTTAAATTTATTTAACATATTTGTTCTTCACAATTGTTTACCATTCCCCCTAGTGTTTTTAGTTTTCACCTAATTAATTTACTAATCACCATGTTTCAACCGTCAAATATCTAATTAGTGGATCATCTCACCCGATCCAACCTGAACTAAAAATTTGGGCCAGGTCATAATAGGTTTTTGACCTACTTTTGGGTTGAGTAACTTATAAAAATGTAACAAAGTAAAAATTACATTGTATTTTATATTATGTTAATCTTATTATAACAAACTACATACAATTCATTGTATTTATTTTTCATATAATTTTATAAATACTTTATTTAATACTATTATAAAAATGTAAATAACTCCACAAGTATTAAGTATACTATTATAAAATTAATATTCTAATAGTTTTAAACCTACTGAACAACTTTTACTTAATTATAAAAAATATATTTCAATAAAATATCATACTGTAGTAATGTTAAAGAAAATAAATAGTAAATAATAAAGAAATTTATATCCAAGATCCCTTTCCTTTCTTTAATTCAGTTACTTTTATCTATAAGTGAAAAATAAATTATTAAATAATATTATTAATAAAATAAATTATGTAAAAAGTTAATGTATATAAGTACCTAGGTCTAGTTTAGTAAAATCTATTGCTTCTATTGATTCTATAATATATAAAAAAAAATAATTATATACATCAATAAAAATATTTAAGAAATGATTTTTGTAAAGTTAAATTAGGAAATTAATTACCTGAATATTCTCCAAATAAATTATCATCATCCTTATTATCAATAGCATTTTTTGGTTCTGGAAGATTTTTAAAATCTAAAAGCCTACTCATGTAAACTGCTTGAGGATTTGTAGTATATGAAAGAGTAGGTCCATTATATAATAATGAAGAGGAAGTTAACTTCTCATTAATTTTATATGCTTCTTCAATTTGCCTTTTGATTTCAGGTTCACCATAAACCCATGATTTACTCCATAAATTGCGTAATAAATTTTCTAATTCACTTGCTTTAGGTCGTTTTAAAGGATCAGCATCCCAACATTGTTTAATTATGTTTAAAATTAATTGAGGAATTTTATAATTTGATTTTGGCCTAAGTCCTTGACAAATGCTAATAGTTAAGAATTTATCATGAGCAATATCATGATAAGGAGGAAGCCCTGTACAGACTTCATATGCAATAATTCCAAATCCATATATATCACTTTCTTGAGTATATTCTTTTCCTCTTAAAACTTCTGGTGCTACATAAGGTAATACCCCATATAGTTCTTTACATTCATTTTGGGATGGTTTTACATTTACTGGTCGACATAATCCTAAATCAGTAATTAAAGTAGTTGTGTCTTCTTTTAATATATTACCACAATGAAAATCACGATGAATTAACCCTTTTTCATGAATATATTTGAGGTTTTTTGTAATATTTTTTAAAATTTTTAACTTTTCATCCCATTTTGTTGAATTAAAACTATTATTTAAATGTTGTCTTAAACTACCATTTATTACATATGCCATTACTATTATAAAATTTCTAGATTCTGGATCTTTAGTAATGCCAAAACAGTGTGCTATACGACTTGTCGTTGGAATCATAATATGGTTTTCAATCTAAAAAAGAATCCATAATAATAATTATTAATAGACGGTTTAACATTTATAAATAGGACAATATCTTGAAATTACTATATTAATAAGTAACTAACTTCTCTTAAAAAATCGGATGTAATATCTTGAGAATTATGTAAACATTTTAAAACAACTGGAAAATCCTTATATTTCCTAAACCAATATTTACTTCTTATCCATTTATTATTCTCAAAATCCCATTTATCTATACGTCCATCTTTCCAAATTCCTTTATAAATAGTTCCAAATCCTCCTTTTGCCAAGTATTCAACATTTTCAAATCTATCATATTCAATCCATTCTAAAACGTCTTCAAAATCTTTAGCTTTAAGTTGTACTTTTTGAATAAACTTGTCAACTTCATGATTTCCACTAGTCCAATTTTTAAAATTTTGTTGAAATTTACATTGACACCAATAATAAGAAGCTCTAGGTTGCTTACATTCTTTGCATAAACCATTATTTTTATAACATATTTTTAATTTTTCATTTAATATTACCTTATCAATTAACAAACTTTGTTCTTCAGTTAGTTTCTTATGGACAAAATCTTTTATTTGCTCAAACACATCATCATTGAGCATAAATTCTTCCATAATGTATTAATAAATGTGACTTCAATTTTATATCTAAATGGAGTAAAAAAAATTATTTTTTTTTTTTAAAAAAAAAAAAAAAAAAAAAAAAAAGACGGCCTTTTAAAACGTGCACAGCAGCGATTGACAAAATCATTTTTTATTTATTCGTACCCCCACTTTTGTTATTCGTACCCCCTGCAATAAAATCGTCATGTGATTGGACATTTTATTGTTTACTGCGCCATTTGGAAATAAAATAATTAAATAATCATAATTTCCGATGAAAAAATCAAAAACGTTTTTTTAACAAAAAAAAATGTTGGCTCGACGTTTTTCCATTAAAAAAAAAAAAATAAGAAACGTCGAACACGACATTTTTTCATTAAAAGAAATAAAAATTATTTTTTTAGTTAAAAAACGTCGAACCTGACGTTTTTTCATTAAAAGAAATGGGAAATAAACATTTTTTCATTAAAAAAAAAAATAAAAACTTTTTTTTTGAACTTTTTTCTTAATAATTTGAATATAAAAAGTTTCGGCATTTTTATATATAAAATTTCAAGAAAAAAGCCCAACCATTTTCTTAATAACTTTCGGGTTATCAAATTCATGACCTAGTATATTTGACATATCATATTCATATGTTACGAAGCAACATAGATCGTCGTCACATGTTCTGGTCTTATCACATGACTTTATTCCCGGCATAACTATCAATATGATTAACGTGAAGCTTATACCTAGGGGTTAGATAAATAAAAAATTGAGAGAAGAATTAAATAATGAAAAAAAGATGGAGAATCTTAAGATATTTACGATGAAATATATAGACGAAGTGATGTATTTTGATGATTTAAATCTTTATTGGAAAAAACATTTAATTCCTGGAGGCCTTAGAGCGTTGCGTAAAAGTGTTCTGAATTAATTTGAAAAAATGAAATGCTTAATAGTAGGAAGGTGGAAGATTTGTTTTTATATAATGAATTTGATTTGAATAGAACGCTGAAATTTATTACTAATCGAAATAACTGTACATCATGAGATATTGAAAGTTAAGATGTATGGAGCGTTCATATGAAATTGGAAATTTTTTAAAGGATTTGCTGACATATGAGATCATTTATGGATCTGCGGAAAAAATGAGGTAACGATTAAAGAAGTTATAGAACGTTTGATTAGTGATTTTGAAGAACATTTATTGAATGAAGAAAAGCATGAGAAAGTTAAATTATTACAGAACATAAATTTTAGTTTTTAAAGATTTTATATGAAAAATCAGAAGTTCTGATCGGAAAAGAGAAATATTGGGAATTGATTAGAAGAGTTTATAATTGTAAATTTAATACGATATCAAAAGACAAAGATGAGAAAGAAATGATGAATGAACTTTGGATGTTTTGTTTTGATGCTTTAAAAAAGGAATTTTGGATCAAAAGGTGTAATGAAGTTAACGAGATAGAACAGAGTTTAGGTATTAAAAAATCAGATAAAAGAGTTAGAAAACTTAAAGCTAAAGACATTGAGAGTGAAGATAAAAATTTAGAAAATCAGAAAAAAAAATTAAAAATTGATGCAAAATATAAAAAGAGAGAAAATAATATTAAATTAGTAACAAAAAATAGAATAATTAGTAGGTTCACAGAGGGAAAAGATACGAAAAGTTGGAATTTAATGCCAAAGTTAGTTTAGTTTATATTTTAGATTAGATTAGATAGATTTTAGTATATAGGTATTGTTTGAATACTTTAGTTATAGAGGGTAAATTAATTTTTAATTTGCTTTCTAAGTGTTTTAATGTTTATGTAATCTTTTCTATAAATAAATTAATAAATTAATAAACGCGTTATTTTAAAAAAAAAGGGTTAGATAAATAAAGTATGTATTGATGATTTATGATTTATCAAAAGAACATCTTAATAAAAATAATGTATTTGTGGAATTTATTATTATCAAAAAAAAATTTAATATTGAATAAATAATATTAAAAAGTTATCATTATTAATACCAAAAAAATTACATTGTATCCTATTGTTATTGACGAAAAAAATATAATTTTTTTAAAAAATATTGACCATATCGGAAATCGGAATGAATACTTTGGATCATCCTGGATCACACTTTCAGGACTTTCAATCTAATCATAAAAAGAGTACATAGCTATAATAAGTATTAGTAATCGATAAACAGGCTAATTAATTTTTTTTTTAATTTCAGTAATAAAATAGCAATGATTTGCAATTTGGTATTAATGCTATAATTTACCGGGAACAGAAATATATATATAAGGTCAGGTAATGAAAAAATTTTTTTACTACGCATTTTTTCAGGGCCGGAATTATGATAATGCCAGCAATTGCTATAATAAGAAATATAATTCTGACCGGAATTATCAAAATTATCTAAAAAAGGAAAGATTTTCATATTTTTTTTTTTTTACTAGACCACACTCTAGACCACCCATTACACAATTTAAATTAAATTATTTATACAGGGCAATCTAAATGTTACAGAATTTTTTTATTAGATAGATTTCTCGTAAATGCAGCCTTATGCAGGAAAAAAAATAGCCCGCAAAAAAGGAAATTCAATTTGTAAATCCCGATCGTTTTCGAGGATTTGGATTGGATTGGCATCACCGTACCTACTGCGTCGCTGTGTCCCGGCTAGGTTTATTCGGTAAAATGTTTTTCAGAAAGCAGGGGACGAGTTTTGTTCTTGGGATATATACGACTGGGATCGGAATCTTCAGGGATTCGCTGCTAGGTTTTCGTCATGGAAGTATGTTGGGAATTTATAGTAAAATGTGATAGGATATTGAGATAAGAAATGCGTTAGTCGGTTCTTGTTTGTATTTTGTTTTAGATAGATAGTTAGATACTTTAATTACTTTATGATATTATATTGGGCATGTCGCGTTACGTGCGTGTCTCATACTAATAAAGTTTAATATAAAAAGAAAAAAATTCAAATTTGTAAAATTAGTAGATCACATGATAATCTACCAATTAGTACGAGTGTTATAAATTAAAATAACATATTAAAATGATCTGTCTTATTGATTTTTATTGATCAACAATTAATATGATATCAAATTCGGAAAAAATCTCGAATTTTTTAATATTCGATAACTTTGGCATTTAATTAGGATTCAATAAATATTAAAAAATTTAAAAAATACAAAGAATAACATAATATCTAGCTTTTCCGAAAAAATACTAAAGAAAAAAATTTTATCTTATGGAAATGTTATTCAAGAGTAAATACTTATTATTGTCGAAACTTAAATAATTTTTTATTGGAAAAAGCTTTCTATTACATGATACTTTGGCTGAATTTTTGAAAAAAAAATAGTGAAAAGAATTCAGGTGGGGAATTACATCAATCTTATTTGGAAACTTCTTGAAAAATTCATTTAATAATAGTCAACATTACGATCACAAAAAAAAATAGTAAATTTTACTATATAGTTTTGTCAAACTATGCTGACAGCGCAACCTAATGTTACATGCGCGATCCTCATTCTTAGCACCTTTAATAATATCCCCTATAAAAAAAGTCGATCCGTGTTTTATATTCCATCTTCTTTTTCCGTAGTATTCCCGAAATTAATAACCTTATATCACATTTTCCGTGAATGCCGTGAAAGGTACATTTTTATGAAGCATTTACAGAAATAACGGATAAAATTTTTATAGGGATTGGAGAGTAGTGTGAGATATTCCTTTCTTAGTGATAATAATTAAATTTAAAAAGAAATCAAAAATTTTTTCTTGAATTGATATTCCATTGTCAATTCAAGGATTTACAGTCACAAAAAACCACGAGGTTTTTTTGAGTCACGAGTAAAGAAAAATATAAATATTGAGTTTTTTTTCTTTTTTGCAAAAAAAATAACTTCATAACATTATATATCTGTGAAGACATATTTTATCTTTACTAGTTTTATTTTTTTTATTTCCACTTTTAATAACTTATTTTAACCCTAAATTCTTAACGTTAATTTCAAAATGAATGAAAAATTTATATTTTACATATTGATTGTACTGACAGTCATAACTAATTCAAAATATACGGTTGCAGGTTCTATAATTACTAAAGTATTTGATATCGAAGATACGATTGATTATTGGACACCTGAAAGAATGAGAGATGCAATACCCTTAACAAATAATGAATCTGATAATAATAAACCCAATTTTCGTACTAAAAGAAATCGGTTATTAGTGAAGAAAGCGAACTTTAATCCTTATGTTCCTTATGGAAAATTATTTTTTCATAACACCGGCGATGGTAAAAATTATGCTTGTACTGCTAGTGTAATTAGGACTGACAATGGAAATATCGGGCTTACTGCCGCACATTGTATTTATAATCAAAATAATAATTGGTCTTCAAATATGGTTTTTTGCCCCGGGTTTCAAAATGGTGAATGTCCAGTTGCTATCCCCGTTAAAGGAGGTTCTGTAGAAGTAGTAAATAATAAATATTATTATGATTACGGCATGATTAAATTCAATTACGATCAGGGTAAATTGCAAGACAGAACAGGATGTTTTGACTGGGATACTAATCCGGGAGATACAGTTAATAATATCACTGCAATAGGTTATCCAGTAAATGGTGAAATTGAAAATTGTAAAAAAGATGGAAGTTCCCTTTGCCAATGGAGTGGGAGTTCGTTTAGATCAGGTAGTTTTAGATACGTACCTATAAATACCGGAAGTGGTTCAAGCGGAGGCCCTTGGATTAGAAACTATGACAATAAAACTCAAACAGGCTGGGTAATTGGTAATACAAGCGCTTCATCAAAAGGGTTATCTAATTCACCCATATATGCTCACGACGAATTCACGAAACTAATAAATGAGGCTGTAAAACTTTAAACTAATTAAGACAATAACTTATTTTATTACTATTATCACTAAATACTTACCTAATATAATTTATTACTATTTATTTACTAAATTAATAAACGATTGGTTTACATATAAAATGACAGTTTATTTACTTTGTGCTTCGAGAATTTTATGAACGGATAATTAAATAAAAACTATACAAAATTTTTAAGTTAACATTAATTAACGTACACTTATCGATCAACTAAGTTTCCGTGAATATGATACATTTATGGGAAAAATAACGAAAATATAAGTAACTTCATGCATAGGACATCGAATAACGGAAAAAATTTTTTTATGAGATGAACTTCGGAGTCTCCAAAAGCAAATGAATTATATTACAAATTTTTTTTTTTTTACTTTCTCTAAAAAGAAATGCTTTGTCAACTTCCAACTGACTGCTTTTACATTCATATTAATCAATTGTACTTATTGTAAAATTTCATTCAAAGAAATATTTGGGATTTTAAATATTCTCCAAATGAATCAATAGTGCTCTTATATAGAAACAAAATTTTTATATCATGCAGCATTTTGCAAAGTATTTTCAACTGATGAGATTGTTCGAATAATTAATAATGTCCTTTAAAAATGAAATATCCATTAAAGATAAAAATTACTTGGCAAAAGAAATATTTTTGAATCAAACTACTTGATAATCTTTATAATGTAAATGTTCTAAATTATATAATTTTCATAGATTTTCCTATCGCATTCAGTGGTTATCTTAGACAGGTAACAATGTACCTCGTCCAATATGAAATTTTTAGTCAGTCGATGGAATTATTTTGCTTACACATGCATGTGCCTGTGCGACAAAAAATAGGTGGATCACAAGACAGGATTGTGCGACATATTAATTTTCACATATAATAGAAAAGAAATTATGTATGATAACCTTTGTCTATTTTTTTCCCGAACAAATGTGAGAAAAATGTGAAAGAGTGTCTAGTTGCAACACAGGGCCCACCCTATAAGTTAATAATGACGACAAAACCATATGCTATGAAGGGCTAAGAACTTTGTAATTTCGAGATCGCCAGGCGTTAGTCCAACTTTGAGTCTTTCAGGTAAATGTGAATGTAGGAGTATGTGGAAGTTCAGCCAACTTTCCCGCAAAAAATTAGGTATGTAACGTATTTTATTTATTTTTTTATAGAAAACCTGACTCACACCTCCCAAGAAACATATTCATGTCTTAGTCGAACCGCCCGTGTAAACCGCTCTGCCGTGAACAAGAATTGCTTGTTGGAGAACAAGTCTGTGTATGGTACGTAAGAAATAGTGAAAAGAGTCGAGGGTCGTGTGAAAACTTTATTTTCGGTTCTAACAGGCCATTACAATATAGGCTTTGATGTTGTTGTTAGCCCGAAACGGAAGTCAACCAAGTGGACAGTGAATATCGAACGTACGACTCTCAAAGACCTCAAAGATTACATACGTGAATTGTACACACCACCAGCGCTTGAAAATGATGGAGCAGAACCAAACTTTATGAGTGATGAGATAGATATTCACATAGGAACGATTCTTCATTCCAAGAGATGTTGCAGTTGTTCGTGTCAATTAAATTTACTGTATTTATTGAGACGCCATCAAATCCATTCAGCGACCTTCCCAAAAGTGTGCGAACTCTATGGGCTTAGCGATGACCCGAGTCCAAGTATCGATGTGTACCCCGTTTTTTATGTGGTTGCGTAGAATTAAAAGATGAAATATCTCGAACCGCGGTTAAGAACCTAATGACCGAATTGAAACTTCGTCAAAGATTACTCCACTCGACATGGCATATGAGGCGACGAAATCTATTTATTTTCACTGCTATCTAGCTAGTGGAGTCTCGTTCTATGAGGATGATTTCAAAATCATACCGGAAAAACTTATTGAAGGTCGTAATGGATAAGGAAACCTCGATTGTGCGATAGAGTGTCGATCGACCGGAAGGATGTTTGGTTTAGTAGAATTTAAGAGGGAGGATTTTATGAAGAGATTTACCCAGGGATCTGTACAAATGGAATCGTCATTGACGGGTCGTAAGCGCAAAGCCGAAGAAATAGATGATGGACTAGTTGTGGACAGGGTTACCGACGCAAGAGAATGATACTTTATGGAATATACTTTAGATGAAGTGGGAAAGCCATCGTTTAAGTTATCAGAACCCGCTAGTGCCGTGTATAAAAGTGATAGCATGCAGGTCATGGTTGAAGAAGTTTTAATTGCTGAAGGAGGCGCAGAAGCCAGTTGAAGATTCACAAAGTGGAGTAAAAGAGTAAGGTCAACAGGCGATCTTGCGATAAAATCGATAGGGATAGGCTATTCATAGAGTGAATGCTTAGGATAGAAATGTAGTAACTTCTTCATGTGTTCTGGCGTAGTCCCAATCTTTTATATTTATTTTGCATGTATTAATAAATTTTTTTCTTAGCAAAAAGTGATCGGCATTACAAATTGTAACGCGCACATGATTTTTCATTTTTTGAACATTAGTGTATAAACAGTGTTACCGATCATGACAGTTTAGCAACGGAGCCTGAATTATTGAGGAAACACTTGAAGCCGAGAATGCCGAGATTTCTGAACTTAAAAGAAATTAGTAAAGTTTGCTGAACTTGAGGCTGAGAACGCGAAGTTGAGACAGATTATTAAGGAAAATACTGAGTTCAAAGCTGAAGTAGCAAAATTAAGGCATGATATTGAAGAAATTAAGTTGCAAACCTCTCCTTAATCCTGCCAATCACGAACTTCCCTCGTGTCCAGAGAAAAAGAGAAGGTAAGAGGTATTACCAGAGGTAATGGTATCGAAAACAGACTATGAGATTGAGATTATTTCTAAGGAAATGATTCAGGGATGAGCAGAATACTATTGATGAGACAGAGCCTCGGTTTGACGGAAACCAAAGAAGGCGGATGTGCAAGGTGTATGTTCTATCTCGACGGAATAGCCCGTTAATATACCTAGCCCTGTTGTAAACTAATGTGATAATACCGTGCAAAATGCCTCTCAACCCTCTTCACCATCATGCATGAGCGAGCAGAAGTCATTGGAGGATAAAGCAGTGGATGTTTTCTGGGTGAAGTGCATAAGAGAAGTGTCAGTGATGGGATAAGGCGGAGGAAGCGGGAGAAAAACCTTCGAGAAGATGATTCGATACTGAAGGTATCTTCCCAAATAGAATCGAATACAGAAGCGCTTGTAGCTTCCAAGGATATCCCAGAAGTGTCTATCAACCAAAAAATCACTTATAAACAAAAAATGAAACAAAGCTTGAGAAATGAGCCAGTATCTGCTTGCACCAAAAGCAATTGTTCCTGGGCCAAGATAGTATTTGATATGGAGATTCCCGAATTCTCTTTAGAAACGATTCTAACAGGAATACAGGATCTAGTGAAGTTACAGCGCAAAATATAGTTGATCTATTTAGGGTGGCAATGAAGGTCCGACAAAAGGAAATTCATGCCGGTATTGTTACTACAAGGCGTATGAGGGCCGGATCAAGGATGTCAAGTCTACAAACAACATTGATGATCAATCGGCGAGAACATTGTTATACAACGAGATCACTTGCGTCAGAAAACGTTCACACTATTTATGGGAATTAGAATAGATAGAATCTAAGCAGTTACTTATAGCGCAAGTGCAATTTCAATCTTATTCAGGACATTATAGGATGATTCCCCCAAAGGCCAACAATACAGATGAGGTTACAAATTGTAACGCACACGTGACTGAATTTTCTGAGGTAAGCGGATCAACCGCACTCATTCCATGACCAGGCATTAAAGTCTTAAAGCCTATCCATTGCAAGACAAAATCTTCAAAGTCCATCATGTGAGACGAGTCATATAGAAAATTAGTAGGGTATTATATAGAGTGAGGTCCTAAGGGACTGAATCTTATCGTTTAGGTTGTGTGCTTAGAACAAAAGATCTCGAGGTGGTAGTATAGACCGTTCATGTGAGATCGATCACCTGAAATGCGCAGAGCGCGATATCGAACATCATGCGCAGTAAGTACGTCATCTTAAATTATAATATAAAATAATTAAATTTAAAAAAAATATTTTTGTATTTAATTTATTGTACATATATAGCATTAAAAAGTATTTGCAGTATGTTCCTCCAAACTTTTTAATACTGATTCATTGTTAAAAATGATAAATATATCGGTAATTTTATATTGATTCATTATTCTCGTTATTATTCACAGAATATCGTGAAATAAATTGTAAATACACAATGTATTATTTAATTTGATAATTGCTATGTTATTTTTAAAATTATTATTTATTAAATTTGTAATTATAATCGATGTTAAAATACATATTAAATTCCAAATTGGAATTCAATATTTGTTGAATAAATTATATTCGCATTGCATAATAATTATATTATCTTCATTTACATTTATTTTTTTTATACTACTTATTATAAATTATTTCAGATCATCAAATAATAATAATAATAGAAACATTACAAGTAACTTCCTTATAAGAAAGTTGCGTATCGTTTAAAGTAACAACAAATAATTTTTTTTAATATTATAAATTATTATAATATTAAGATCTTATTATCCAGTATTTTTTCACCACCGCATGGCTTTTGGCCGGCATTACGGCACTAAGAAATTAGCTATATGTTCATGACAAATATGATTTCACACGCTTAAAAAGCCGATATACTATGATCGCGTGATCACGTGGGTGAAAAGTGACGGAAGAGTCGGAAGATGGTTGCTGTTCATCCAAATACGCAAATACAGTCACTGTATATAAAAAATTAAATAAAAATGACAGATAACCAGTTCTGAAATACCAACATGCACTCGAGTTTTCAAAAATGTGAGAAAATTAAATAAAATTAAATATCAGGCATATTTTATTGCATGTGACCCATGTGTTATATGTGTTTACGCCATTGAAATTAATTATTAATTATTTGATTTAAGAAACAACATATTTTTATAATGAAACAAAAATAGCCTCTTTAACCCCTATTTATTATTCCTTTACAAAATTTCATTATCTGAATAATCTGCCATTTAATATGCTTCTGACTTTCTTTGTATTCTTTGTGTATTTCTTTTTAGAAGTCAGAGATCAATGGAACCTCTTTAGTAAATCATAATAAAAAATAATTTTCAATACAACTAAAAAACTAAATCTTTATTAGTTATTTTAAAATTTTCTTGGTTTAACTTTAATAAGTAATTCTTTACAAACTGTAATTAAATCAGAATTATATTTAAGTGGTGCATTTGGATCTGCCATTTCAATGTCATATTTTCTATAAATTAAGGCTAATAAACATTTTAATTCTATCATCGCTAATTTTCTCCCAGGACAGATTCTAATTCCACCTCCAAAAACTGAGAAAGCAGTTTTAACGTGTTGTTTTTCAAGTAAATATTTATTACTTTCATCAATTTTATAAAATCTATCAGGATCGAATTTTTCGGGATCAGTCCAATAATCCTTTCGTTTCATTATTGCACAGTAAAGTATTGAAAACGAAGTTTTTTCTGGCCAACAAAGCCCTCCTATCGTATCTTTTTCAACATTTACACGACCAAGTGAGTAATTTATAGGAAAATGACGGTATACTTCCTTAATAACTGCATCGCAATATTGCAATTTATCGATATCATTATGTGTTATGGGTTTTGTAACATCCTTTCCAAGTACTTCATCGAATTCTTGTCGTAATCGTTGTACCACTTCTGGATGATGTCCAAGATGATATATAATAAAGCAAAATAAATTCGAAACCTAAAAATTTCAAATGAATTTTTTAAGTAAATACGTAGTACATACTGTACATACTGCTGTTTAGTACTATATTTAACAAAATGAAATTTTACTCACGCTATGAGTTCCCCCGCCAACGGCATCAAGTATATTACCCAAAATTTCTTTATCAGTCATCGGTCTTAACAAATCGGCATCAACATCGCCATGTCTCACAATTTCAATATCACGCGGTGTATTTGCGATTATATTTGATGTCAACATATCGTTACGAAGAAGTTGTTCACATGGTGTATTCTCAATTTCAACCCTTCTTTTTTTAATAATTTTATATACTTTTTCGTATAAATAATCTCTATTTTTTAATAAACTAATTGCTTTTCCACGAATAAAAGGAACATAATGACGCATAAATTTATTAAAATAAAAAAAGTAAATGGCTCCTCTTATTAACAATTCAAATGATTGAATAAAATTTTCTGATTCATTGATTTTTCCTTTTTCTTTTTTGTCTAAATCATTACTTTCAGGTACGAGGGTATGATAATAAGAAGTAATAGAATTATTTCTTTCTCCTATCGAAATTTTAAAAATCATATCATTTGTAAACCTATGCATCCATTTTATAAGATCTAATTCATGATTTTCTCCAAGTTTATTCCAATAAGATTCCATTTCACTCCATAATTCATTCGTCCATTCAACAGCTTGATAATTAAAACTTGGGGTCATCATAGCTTGAGTGAAGAATTGACGATTATATTTCCAAGATTTTGGATCAATATTATTAATTATTCCTGTTCCATCTATTCCATATTCTTTAAATCCTTCTGAGACAATATATCTTCTAAATGGATATTTAGTTTTTGTTGAAGGTATATTCATATTTTCAATTAAATCTGTATTACATAATATGATTGTACGTTGTCCCGCTAAATTTATTTCAAACATATCTCCATATTTTTTATGCAACGATATTAACCAATCATTAAATTCATATCCAAATTTTTGATGAATGTTACCAACTATTGGAAGTGGAAATGGGCCAGGTAAAGGATTTAGTCGAGTGAAATAATGATAATAATATCGAGATACGTAGAGAATTATGAAAGTTGTGAAAAGATAAAAAATATCAGAAATTCTGAGTGAAGAAACAATTGTCGATATCATTTTTGAGAAAAAATATTTAAAAAAAAAAAAAGAATTTATAAACCACCTGGAAGAATGCTTCATGCGCATATTTATATGTAAATTCAGATTAATTACACAATAAATAATTTCGTGAATCAACGTCCATTCAAAGGTTTCAGATGATATGCATTGATGATTTATAGTAATTCATTTTTTGTAAATAAAAAAATCATATGCTTTGATGATTTATAGTAATTTGTAAATAAAAAAAATTAAAGTTTCATTCCAAGGTAAACAATAATCTATATCTGGTTTAAAATCAACTATACGAAAAATATTGAATCATTGACTAGCGGATGAACTATTTATCCGATTAATTTATTGGTCGATCATTCATTCATTATTTATTGAGATTGGAAAGATTGGTAAATAAAGAAAATGATACAACTGGGAAAAAGAAAATCTATATTAAGCAAAGTATTAAAATTACTAGTAACCCTCAGTCTATATATCCTTTCAAGCCCCACAATGGAACCGTCTTACTAACCTAAGAGATTGTTGTCACAACTTTTGGTGACAGAAGATTTAACTTTTTAAAATTTTAACAATTAAGAATAGAGTGAGCCATTCCCTGCCTGATTTTCTTTTTAGGATTGAAAGAAAATCCGGGATTTTTTAAAGTTGTAGTATATGGGTCTTCTATAAATAAATGAGGTTGTAAATATTTATGTTTCTAATATGATTATTCCCGATACATTGTATTCCTTGGCATAGTTTGACGATTTTTAGCATTATAATATCCTTTTATTTTCTCTAATGATTTAATAAGCCAAAACGATATTTATGGTTAAAAAATGTTCGTTCAAATTTTAAGTGACTCTTCTTTTAAATATAAGTTTATAAAGAAGAAAAAGAAAAAAAATCGATAATTTAACGTAATTGAAAATGATTATCCAAAATCACATGTAACCGACATGTAATAAATCCGACTACCATTTTTCGGTGTCAATGCTAGGGACGTTCGCAGTTTTGTAATCACGTTTGTCATCTAATAAAATTCTCCTACGACATGCGATTGAGTATTTGTAAGCATTTTAGCACATCGTGGCTGTTTATTTTATGCCACTTCCCAAACAAGGAAGGTTCTAATCACCACTTATTTTTGACGTGAAATTTCCATTTGGAAATCCATTCATTTTCAAATTTCAATTAGCTTGTCAATATCTCCTAGTATCATAGAGGTTTATCATAAAGGTTTATCATAGAGGCTTGTCATAAAGGCTTCTGTATCTTCATGTTCAACTATAAGTAGTTAGAAATATAAATATAGGAATTTTCGCCTTAACTAATTATTAAGGAATTAAGGAATTTCTTTTCACAAAAAAAAAAATTATTCTTACTACGTTAATAAAATCATTTTTAATTATCGCCATTGTCCTTTTACTAATTCTAGTATCATCAATTTTTGCTGATGGTTATAATTACGATGGAGGTCTATCATCTTGGAATGTAAATCCAAAGTGTGGAGGACAAATTTCTAAACAATCGGTACGTTTTTATTTTTTTTAAAAAAAAAGCGCATGAAAAAATGACTACTTTTACACCCAATTATTATAAATAACCTAGAAACCAAGGTAACCAAGGAAGAAACTTATGGAATATTGTTAGCAATTCCAATGTTTTGTATATGTAAAAAATTAAATTCAGTATATCACGTGTGCAGAAAAATGATAATATGCCTTACACTACCTGAATTTCTGATACCGTATATCTTAAAGCTAACTCGTTAATCTTCATGATACATCAAAAAGAATATCAGAACAACTCGGCGAACGTGAAATTCGACCAGTGCAAGATTTCGAACAGCTTAGAAAGCTTATGGTTGCTAGAAAGGCCTTTCTTAATAAACTTAAAGATGAAGGGATGGATCTGTTAGCTTTCATAAGTCCGGGAATAGTCGACGACAAACCTGCAATTATTGTTGTGTTTCCTGATGAAACGTTACAAATCTGTCTACCGGCCAACGTTTGAGGAGTATCCAGTGCTGATTACATACGGAGATATTGGACTAGCTTCTAATCCTCGAGTTTATGGTACTCAAGCCCGGTACTAGCATTGGACGTTTAGAAGTCGTTCTTCCAGGAGAGTACGTAGCTATTTTTGGTGTTATATAACCAAAATTGAAAATAATTCTAAGAATTCTAAGCATATTCGAAGTATTTGTTTGACGAGCTTTGTGCAGTATCATCGAAATGAACAAATTGTGAAAGATATATAATTTTTCAATTGATGTGTCAAATAAAAGAATTACCATAAAAATTCCCTATTTACTATAACATAGTAAAAATAAAAGATAAAAAGTCATTACACAATATTATACATTTTTCATTTAAATCTTTTAACAGAGCAATGCTAACGAAATCATACTCTGTTCTTGTCGTAATATTAAAAATAAAAATAAAAATAAAATTTCAAATTAATATTTTGTAACATAAAAGCTATATGAACTGAGTGAACAGTAGCATGGAATTTTTGTTAAGGTACACCATTGGCTTTTTATCATTTCAGAAAATACAAAAGTCAAGAGCATTTCTTAAAATTTCTTCCAGGTAGTTTAACAATAATTTAGGACTTTATTTTATGATAAAATTTTTTTCTGATATTAAAAATTTTTGGTAAAAGTAAACCCTTTTTTTTGCATATAATGTCAGCTAAACACATAATGTAGGCCAAAATTGTCATAATTCTGGTAACGTTTTTCAAATTTTATGAACCTGATCATCCAAATTTTAAGCAAACCACAAAAATCAATTTCTACATATCCTTTGTTGCATTATTTTATTTTTAAAAAAAAGTTTGTTTATTTTCCTTTATAATTTTTAGTTCTAATTTTTTAGTTACACTTTTCTTTTTCTCTATCAATGTTAAAAGAAATTCAAATAATATAGATTTTAAAAGACAAAATTAAAGTAAGAACAAAAAGAACCTAGATTTAAAAAAACAAGAATAAATGACGAAATTATTATATAATAAAAAATTGTTATCATGATATTGGTTCAATCAATTGTAATCAAAATTCATAAATGTAGAAATATTAAAGGATTCAGCCACAGATATACAAGTATAAATAAAAGCATATAGCACTGCCACCCATTACAGCCTGATACATCGGCACAGGGCGCAAATATACACAAATATTTAGATGCTTAGCTGCACTGCCACCTTTACAGCCTGATACATTGGCGCAAGTATACACAAATATTTAGATGCTTAGTTGCATTACCACCCATTACAGCCTGATACATTGTCACAGTATACACAAATATTTAGTGCTAAATTGCAATCATCTGTCTCTATATATTTGCCACATAATTTTCATTTCAAAGTTTTCTAAATTTTACCTTAAATTACCAAAAAAAAATAATATTTGTTTATTTATATTTACAACTATACTTCTTGACACATTAATAACCATACTCATTGTTCTTATTAAGCAACAATATTTCTTCTTTAGACATACAACTTATTACTGATAATTGTCAGGTATTGACTTTTATTAAGCTAATATTTAAATTACCATACTATATAGATGGAAAGAATTACATTTATATAATCCAATTCTTTTCATATACTTAATACAGAAAACATCAAGATTCATATTACCTACCCAGTAAAAAGTCCTGTACTGAATTCATATTAGGTTTGTATTGAATTTATACATGAGCCCGTTTGGTACGAAAAATTGGACCATAAATGGGATAAAATTAAAATAAATATGGCCAAATTTTATACCGAATGGGCTCATTTCATAATTAGCCTATATTTGGTACAAGAACTTTTTACTGGGCTATATACTATAGTCTTATATAAGTTTATAGACATTCCTGAAAAAAATAGTGGAAGTTAATGATAATTTAGAATTCAAGTTCATATTGAAAATTAATCAAAAGATGAATATATAAGATCTTACTTGTACCAACAACTAGCAATTAGGTTTCAATAGAATCCTTTCTAGAAAATTCACAATCTAAGTTTCTACTACAAAACTGGACTAAGAGCAGTGTTTTCACAAATCAGAAAAGATGGAAAGAAAGGAAAAGGCCAGAAATTACAATATATTTCTGAAGAAGGACTCCTTTTATTTAGGAAATGCAAAAATTAAGCTGGAATAAAGTTACTAAAAATGAAATATCATCCTGCTAATCCACTTTATCTAAATGCAGTAATTAAATAATATAATTTTTAATAACAAGAATGAATCATGTGTATAATTTTTTTAGCAAAAATATTGGGTACACTATCATATAATCCTTCCATTATTGTTACTAGTAAATTCCATCAAATGTATCACTTATATCAGAAAATAACCTCTTGAGAAATCAGCAGATGGAGAATATTTAGAAGTAAACAACACATTACTAGAATATTGCCATGAAAATGACTTGCTTGGAACTATGTCTAATTCTAAGAAAGTGGATATACATTTAATAGTGTTTGCACATGTAAAATATTTACAAAAACATTTCATAATGTAAAATACACTTAAAATTATTTATCTGTTAAAGATGTTATGGAAATCTTTGAAAAATAAAAACTTTTCCTACCATTGAGTTCAGAGTGCAGACTACATAACATATACCTTAATGGTTATTTCATCAAATCACATGATTTATGTGCTTATGCAGGGGGAATTTCCTCTCACCTTCCTTGCTTCTAATTTTTTTTAAAAATGAATAATAACAATAATAATAAAAGTAATAATAATCCACTTCTAATTGTAGCACAGCATCCTTATTTTTAGCACAAAGTAATTGTCCTCATACTTCTAATATGATTAAATTTTTAATGTTATTGTCCCAACAGCATTTCTTTCTACCATTCAATTGTTTGGATTTTTTTTCTTTATTTGATTATCCTTTAAGAAGTTTTACATGATTAGAAAATCTTTTTGTTTTTTTTTGATATTATAATATTTCTTTATCTGCAAATTTTGGTTTCGGGGTCAGAGGAGAAACATATCCTATCTTACATTATATTATTAATCCCAAATACAAGTACAGTCATATTATGAGTTTATGCACAAAAGGAATCATGGTCTTAGATCAAGTTATATCCATTGACTCAGTATAATTGGAAGAGTATAACAATATTAAACAAAGTCTTCAAAACAAATAAGGATGAATTCCATGTTGGTACAAATTCCTCAAAGAAAAACTTCATCCTGATTAAGATCTTTTTTATCTTTTTTATTTCTTTCATCTAACATCATGGTTTACAAAAAGTACAATAACCAGAAAGCCACACCCAAGGAATGTATTAGACTAACTCAAAAAATAAATGTAACTCCCAAAAAAATCATAATAAATGATTTTTTTCTCACAAAACACAAATCAACAACTGGCTTAATATTGACCTTGGAACAAATTTAATCCAAAATTCTCATGTTCAGCATCTGAGGCCTCCATCACCTTCTGATGATATATATCATTACACACAAAGGACCATAATAATAGTTTATTATCTGGGTGAATTTGATCTCAGATGTGGTATATGGACGCTTACTAATTTTCAGCCATTTTCATAATACTACACCTATTATGTATTTAGAACATTGGACAATGGTTCCAAATGATACTACTAAGATTGAGACCTAATATTATTTAACTATGTAATGGATGTCAACTCCATTTCCCATATTTTATAGGTAATAATTCTGCTAAGTATATATTGAAGATTACATCCAAAAAATTTTGAGGTCTTAAAACATTATCCAGCACATCATTAAATCTATGAATAATTCAAAAAAAGAAATATGGGTTGGCCTTCAAGATCTTAGCAAAGCTTATGATCATGTTAATCTTTCATTACTAAAACTGGCTTTTCAAAGGTTACACTTCTTACCCTTTATTGTTAACCTTCTTATTCTATTATTTACTGATCATACCAATTGTGTCATCTTACCAAATGACACTTCCTCACCTATCAAGTACTCTAAGGTATTGATCAAGGTGAAGTAATTAGCCTAATACTATGAATCTGTTATTATGATCCTATGTTTACTCACATTGTGTCTTTAGAAGATAATCTACACATTACTTCAATCAAGAAAATTAACAACATCTACCAACCATCATCAGATACTGAAATCAATTATCCTTCCTCAGTCGTAGGATATCTGGATGATACAAGTTGGTTTGCATTCTCAAAAGAACAATTAGAATACTATTAGAATGCAATTTAAATATTGCCATTTTATGATATGGCTAATATTACAATTATACCATTCATTTCAGAAATAAAGGAATTAGAGAAAGGAAAAGTGATGACTGTCCAAGGACAAGATGCATGGATAATTGCTGGTTTAGGTGTTGTTACGGCAGATTTACCTCAAGGTAACGATTAATCATGACAAATATACTTTACTCACCAACAACCCTTGCTTATGTAACAAAAATATCTAACTTAATGTTACATTAGACAAAACCATCACTATAAAATAGCATCATGTTCTTCATTTGACCGTATTTTAGGCATTTATATTCAGTTAATGCCTTCAACACTCATTCACCTACTATTAGAAAAATCAAACAAATAATTCATCATTTTGCTATACCATGCGATTTAAAAAAATTACCCATGATCATTTAATTTATATTATTAATTGTGTCTTACTCCCTAAATTAGAATACATAAATCAATTCACTATATTCACTTGTTCACAATGTGGCTTTTTACTAGCTCCTATTAAAAAATTATTCAAACACCATTTAAAACTTCCTATTTCTACATATAATAATATTATTTACATTATTCCCTATTATTAATAGTTTTTTTTTTAATCAATTTTATTCTCACGTATTAATAAACGAACATGATTTTTAATACACCTATTTTTAATATTATAAGTTTACAAAAAATTCTTTATACTCAATATGAATATTGGTTACCTCACTTTCTTACTGCTAAAGATCTTAAAAGATTTTTATCTTAAGCTAGACCTTCTTTATTAACATGCCAACTTCATTTACAGT